TGTAAAGCTGCTCAAAAACCCCGCCTTGCTAGGCCGCCTGCTGGACCCGGACAGAGAACTTGCTGTGACCCCGAGCTGGGAGCCTTTGATGGGCCACACCGGTCCCGCCAAGATGAAGGGGCTCCGGGCCGGAGCTTGACAGCAGCCGCTAAAATAACTTTGTTGTTTTTCTCACAGAGCATCTGCCTGTGGTTATCTGGCACAGCAGGTCCCGTTTCTCCTTGTTCAAAGGCCTGCCAACTTCACGTTATGCAAGAGCTTTGTTTTATAATTTGTCTCAGAAAAAAAATCTGCCTGCCAGAGGTTTAAAGCACGATTAAAGAACTGAAAGTGAGTATAATGACAGCCTTCATTCTCCCCGTCCATAAACCTCACTGCTGAAGGACTGGCTTCACCCTGCCTGTAGCTGACGCACGGTACCCTTCTGTGGCAGGGCTCTCCCTGTTGCTCCTGCCAAACCATGTAGCTTCGTCTGAGCAATGCTGTGATGGTGCTGTTAGAAATCGGCAAATGCCGCATCAGGAAAAAAAAAATTCTACAACAAAAATGTGATTCTTACTATCCTTGGCCATCACCGTTTCTGACTTCCCATTCAGTGTGCTTCTTGCCTTTAAACTCTGATCATGAAATTAAGGCTCTAAGTGGGTACAATTTTTTGATTTGTAGACTGTAACTTTGCTAAAATGCAGCACTATGGGCCATCCATCTGACCTGCCAGACTGGATTTTTGTGTGTGTGTTTCAGCCATGCTGAGCGCGCATGTACAAACTCTGGAGTTGTTGGGATCTCTTTTGTGGTTTTTTCCCCCAATGGTAGAAGGAAACTTGCTGCACAGGAACAAAACAAACAAAGCTAGAGAGCACAGTCTCCCCAGTTACAAAACATAGGCATGTGGGCAGGAGAATTCCACAGAATCCACATACATCTACGTTAGGGGTTTTGTGCAGTGTTTGAGTACATGCTGCTATGTCACTGTGTCACTGTGCCTGGGAAAAATCAGCATCTTGGGAGTAAATCAGTGCACCACGTAACAGACAGATCAGCAGAAAGTTCCATAACTTAAATATATGATATACAGGAATACTGGGAAAACAGTTTCAACAGAAATATCGGTTGCAAGCTAATCTACGTAACAACCTTTAGAAGTACAAGCTGTTCAGGAAGCAGCTAAGAGGTAAGTGACCAGAACCCATCTATGATCAAGCGTGTCAATAGCTATTATTCTTCAATGAATGGCTGATCGCAGAGCTACTTCCTACGAAGTGTTTTTCTATGCTACCTTTTAGCGTGATAAGACAGATCCCCTTCGTCTGGCTTTTTTTCCATTGTGGCGCATTGAATGAGTGTTCCTGAGTCCAGGCAGCACAGAACTGTTGGGATTGCTTCAGGGACTCTCTGGAAACAGAAACTTAGAGTGTTATCTGTTTTGTTTAGGTATCTTCCACTACTCTTGCAGAAATGATTTGCAGACAATTCTGTAACTGATCTTGGTGTGAATGAGGTAGTTGTTACATTGCAAAATTGTTAATCTACTTAATTCCATAGACCAGGGCTGACTTTGGCCTTATTCAATTCTGTTCTGTATCTCTGTTGTCTACTTCAGGTGAGGCTTTCTCATAATTTATGCAAGACAGCATATGTGTGTTCCCCCGTTTGAAAATCAATCTCTTTACTGTGTATAGCAGTATGTATGCTCACATAGCTGATACGCAAGAAGAAAGCTGACATAAACCTTAGTTCCTGTAGTAGAAAGGGTCAGGGCTAGCTTTCATCTTCCAGAATCAGGAAGGAGCTGTTCTAAGGACGGACAGTCACTGCATATTGCTGCTGAGAAAAGCAAATGAACACAGTCTGTGGAAACAACAAAATTTTATTACTTCACTTGGAGTACAGTCAAGACAGTAGTACTAGTATATCATTCCTAGAAAGACGTCAGGGAACACGTAAAGAAAAACTGCAAAATGTTTGATTTGGGCACACTCAGCAGCATGGTGCCAAGATACTATGAGTCACTATGTACCAGGCAGCAAATGACTCAACAAAGTGAAATACACTGAAATTCCACTGATCCTGTCTGATTCCCCCAATATCTGAAACCAGAGCCCAGAGAAACAGTTACAGACCACAGTCAGACTGTTTCTATTTGTGCAGCTACCAATACTGGATGTGCTCATGCATGCATATATATACACGTATCTTATACAAAAGCAAACATATTTACATATAAGGTCTCAATTACAGTATAAATGCTACTTATTAGTGTTGGCAGGCCATAGAAACTAGGTAGACTGAAAGGCAGTTTTATTCTATATACCAGGGCCAATAACAAGGAAAAATACAGTTCAAATTTACCCAAAGCATTATGCCTTTGCTTTTAGTGGAGTTTTATCCCCCATTCAACTTTTTAATTAAGTGGTATTGCATCAGAAATTGTCTGCTCCACTTAGCGTATGTATTTGTATTGGTGCACCTGTGATTCTACAACAAGCAACAAGCTGGAACAGAATACAGCATAACTGGGAGTACATCATCTTTCTTATAGAAATGGACTCGATTTCCTGGATGTACTGTCTTGCCTCTCATTTGGCAAAGAAGTCGAAATTTGGCTACAGCCTTGCAACAGAATATTGTTGAATTAACTCCGCCCTTGTTTTAAAGATTTGCATTAAGACAAACAAAATGTTGTATTATTTCTTTACCTCCGTTTGACAGAGCAATAAAGAGCAACCAATAGTTCTAAACCTCTTTGAGCCAGGAAGTTTAAACATAGAAAAAGAACAAGTGTGGCAGGGCCCTTTAATCTCAGGTTCCGTAAGAAACATTTTCACTAATTCTTTGCACATTCCAAATGAGCCCAATACCTATATGAAACATGTGCTCAATATTGTGCACCCAACTGGTGCTAGAAGCACAAGAATAAGTGACCAGGAAACACGGGATCCCCTGTCTTAGTTCTGAGTATAAGATGAAGAGCACTGGGAGAAAACAGATTTTATTCCCGTATTTTTCTTTCTTTGACAAGAGAAGGCAGTGATTCAGTGTTCTCTGAACACTTCATTCTTCAGCTGCAGAGTGGAGATCCAACAGCTTCACTCAGCTGGGATGCAGCCAGGTGATTCCTGCTTAAGGCAAACCTAAACAGTCAGGAGACTCGTGACCCACTGATGTATGGCCACAACCTCTCGGATGAGAATGCCTTGATCATGAGTGTTACCAGTGATGGGAAGGAGGAATATTTTTATTATGTGCTCTTTTGATCAATGAGGTATGGAGCTGCAACAAAACAACAGGATTACAACAACATTCCTGATCAAAAACCCAGTTAGAGCAATTCCACTTACGCTGCCAACTTTCAGTTCAGGCTGTATGTGTGCATTGCAAGTACACCACACCCAAACGATGTGTCCTTTAAAAACCTTTCAGGGAAAGCAGCAAGTGCAATTAAGCCAGCTGTTTACATAAAACTGTATATGAAAAAATGCACATCTGACTGGCAGATGTGAAGTCAAGAACACCTCCAAATCTCCTGTCAGCTACTTTGGAGAGGGATGGTGACACAAGCAGTCACTGAGCAGTTTCACAATAGTGCACAGGCGCATGGGTGTTGTCCGAGCTCCACAGTTGCTCGCTGACAGTTCCCGAGCGGCTCACCTCCCACAGTGCCAACTTTAGCACCTCAGAGACTGTTGTCTTGACCTGGGCCTGGAACTTTTTGCTAATCAGAACGTAGAGGATTGGATTGAGGCAACTGTTGATGAAACCAAGGCCAGTGGAGAGGGGGATGCCGTCCTGCAGTAAGTCATGCAAGTTTTCATCGTGGTGAGCAGACAGTTCCACAATGCTGAATATGTGATATGGTGTCCAGCAAACAAAAAAAGCTACAACTACAGCAATGATGGTCCAGAAAAGCCTGCTGGAAGTCAGTACAGTTCTCCTCTTCACTTTGACAATCAGCAATGAGTAGCAAATGACCATGGTCAATAGAGGAAAGAGGTAACCAAATGCAAGCCTCACCCAAATGAGAATGTGATGTGTCAGCAAAATAAGTTCTCTGTCATGCACATGAAAGTTGTTGTAGCAAATGGTGACATTGTTGAGAACTGTAGCTGTGTCTCTAAAGTATAAGGCAGGGCCACCAATAATTGCAGCTGACATCCAAATGATCCCACTAAGAATGAGGGTGTTCCTTACAGTCCGATACTTGTAGGAGAAGACTGGGTGGACTAGGCGGATGTAGCGGTCAAGGCTGATGAAT